TGCTGCATCGCAATATTGAAGATGCGGTGCTCCTCGCTACATTGAGCCTGATCCAACCGTTACGCAAGCAGTGAAGGCCAGGAACGTGGCGTATTGGATAAAAGAGAAAACAGTGTACAAGAACACAAAACGGCATAACCATATTTTTTCAGGGGTCTGCGCGGATCTCTCGGATCGGCGCTGGACCCCCCATCCCTGGCGCTCGGAACCTCCGAAGGCTTGTGGTGATGACGTTCCTGTGGGGACAATAAAACTACTCTCGTAATAAGGCTGTTTGGTAAACGCTCACGGCCTAGGGCCGTCTGGTGAACGCCACGTGTGGCAGTCGGGGTGGTTTTTTTCCCTTGATTTTTCATGTTTTGCGCTCCTTCTTTTTCTTCTTCTTCGGCTGCTGGCCCAGATGCTGAGCTCAGCCCCACGGCGGCCGCACCCTGCAGGCGCAGCCCGTGAGCTTGCCGTGCGCCGAGAGGCTGGCGCCCTGGCCGCTGGCGGCAGCGCCGAAGGCCGCGGGCTCGACGCCGCCGAGGCCTCGTGCCGGCGGCCCTCGGCGGCCTCGCGGCGGCGTCCTCGGCGACGCGGCCCCGTCGACGGCGGCCTCGGCGGCCCCGGTGTGAACCCAGGACGCATAGGCGATGTAGACACAACCCCCCCCCCAGCTTCCTCGTTGGAAGAAGGGGCGCACGTGCTGCCCGCCCCTGAATCACGGCCCGCCCTAAGCCCGCGCTCTTGGCAGCCGGCGGCGGCCGTTGGGCACTGGAGGCGTCCAAAGCGCATCTGCCACTGTGTGCGGTCCCCGTTTCCTCTCTGTCTCTGTCTCTGCTCAGCGCTGAAGTCAAGCGGCGTGCTGTGACTATCAGAGCCAGGCGCCACAGAAAGACAGCTGCAGGGCGGCATGGCGGCCCAAGAAGGCGCGAATGTAGCACGCTGAACAAGGGCGGTGGTGCTAACAGTCGATGACGAATAACCGATGCTCCTCTTCCTCCTCCTTTTCCTCCTCTCTTCCTCCTCCTCCTCCTCCTCCTCCTCCTCCTCCTCCTCCTCCTCCTCCCCCTCCTCCCCCTCCTCCCCCTCCTGCTGCTGCTGTTGCTGCTGCTGTTGCTGCTGCTGCTGCTGCTGCTGCTGCTGCTGCTGCTGCTGCTGGTCGCTGCTGCTGCACATGGGCCGCGCGCTCCGCCTCCCCGCGCAGCGGCCCGCGCCCTCGCGCATGCAGCGGCGCCGCGAGGAGGCGGCGGCAGCCCCGAATACTACACGAAGAACAACCCCTTAACCGCGGCCCGCGCCGCCCCTCGCCGTCGGCAGCCGGGGCCGGCCGCAGTGTGCAGGACGCAACCGAGACGCGTTGTCACTGTGGACGGCCCACGCTTCCACGCGCCCCTCTGCTGGCGGAGTGGACTGAGGGCAAGGGCGCTGGGCTCGCGACGGCAGCTAAAAATTGCACTTTCCAAGCGCGATCAATTTCTTCACCCACGGGTTGAGACGGAACTTCTCATGTATCTGAACACCGTCATCCAAGTGAATGCGAGTGGACACATGGCCTCACCTCTGAAACCGACTTTCAGACATCTCGCGGCGCCAGCGCCCGCGCGCCGTTGCTTGGCCTGGGCTGCGCAGCACCCCCCAGCGGTGAGATGCGCCTCCACGCCGCAGGGAATGAGGTTTGTAGCGGCCTGAACCAACGCCTATGCGGGTGAGGCGCTCCACGAACGCGCGGCGAAAGCCCGCGGTCTCCTTCGGCGGGAACTTAGCCCCAGCCCATCTTTGATCCCATGTGCTGCAACGCCTGCTCGTTTGCCATGTTGCTGGGCCCCTAGTCTAGGTGGCACGCTCCTCTAGGTAGACTCCATGCACACTGGCTCGCGCGCTTGAAAACAGCTACTCGGTGGCCGCAGCAGGCCGTTGGGGCCCACCAAATGTGCTGCGCCGAGGGCAAGTTCGCTGCATGGGAGAGCGAAGCCCGCCATCGTGAGCATCCGAACTGGCAGAAGCGGGCACCTGAAAAGGACGCCGCGCGTCGTTCAGTCCACGGCGCAGTGGCGGAACATCGCGTTGAAGGCCTGGGAGTACATCGCCGACAAGGGATCGAGCCCCCCCCGGGGCTGGCATCCTTCCAAAATTTGGGCGGGGATGTCGTCGGCGCCAGCGGTCGCGCTGGGGAGGTCTTCGCCGCGCAACTACAAACGGCCGATGGAGAAAAAAAAAAAAAAAATGACCGCGGGCCTGTTGCGCCTGGCGGTGGCTGGCTGGAGCTGCAAATCTGAGAACGCCTGCTGAATGCCGTCGCTGCTGTGCTGCCTGCGCGTGCCGTCAAGCATGCGTCAAATATTTCTCTCCTCGCCAGCCTCGGATCGTCGGCTGGATTCAACTCCGACCGCGCGCGCGTGGACTGGGCGGCAGAACGAGGCAAGCAACATCGCGCTGAGACGGCGCAGCAAGCGCAGCAACCGGCATGACGTCGAGCGCTCCCTGCACGCGACCGCGATGCAGATCTGCGAGTCGCGCG